TTTGAGGGACGCCTAGAATGCGGAGACGATACGATTCCAGTGTCCACTGACAATTTAGCTTTTCGCGGTGCAGTTCTTCGAGTTACTGACTGTATTGTTGGACTTGCCGTATACACTGGCAAAGAGACAAAACTTTCACTGAACGCCCAAGGCGGAAAACGCAAATATTCGTCAACTATAGGGAAGTTTAATACGATTTTGGTGATATTCATGGCTTTTATGCTCCTTTTCACCATAATTTGCGTTGCTTTGCAATTCGAATGGCGAAAAACAGCTCCCGGTATGGGTTGGTACTTATACTTTGGCAACATAACTGTGTTTAAAGTCGTCCAAGAAGGATTTACAATTTTATTTATAATGAGTTACCTTATTCCGGTTTCAATTGTCGTCACAACGGAAGTGCTTCAGCTGTTTCTGGCTCTTTTTATATCAAGAGACCTCAACTTATATGACGCCGAAAAAGATAGGCCTAGTCAAGTGAACTCCACAAATTTGGCAGACGAACTTGGCCAAATCGAATTCCTGTTTAGCGACAAGACAGGCACACTGACACAAAACAAAATGGATTTCAAGTGTTACTCCCTGGCCAATGACGTTTCCGTTTATAATATGGAAGCCGACGGAATTTATCTTATCCGCGATTGTCAAAAATTTAGTGATGTTTTTAAATCAACCGATCTTGACTTACAAGATTCAAGGGAAATTCTTCAAGATGAATACTTTTCTTCGTCCTCCTCCGAAGACGAACTGGAGGAAATTACTAAAAAGGAACCTGGTGGACCAATGGCCAGAAGACACTCAAGATTTAAATTCCGCATAGAAGAACTGTCCGAAAGAGCACAAAACTTTTGGATGATCGCGTCTCTTTGTCATACAGTCGAAGCTAAAGTACATACTATTGAAGAAACTAAAGAAGAAATTATTTCCTATAATGTAAGTTCCCTTACATGGCCAGTTCGAACTCCAACAAAGCTTAGTATCTTTTTAGCTGTATTTTAAAATTTACACTTTCCCTCTTCTTAATTTCAAATTTTGAGGCCTCATCACCCGATGAAAAGGCGCTAGTAGAAGCTGCTACAAAGTGTGGCTACCAATATTTAGGGCACGCTAGCGATGACGACGCAAAAGAAAGCGAGAGAAATGTCCACCTTATTCGGTACAATAAGGCGGCACTCAAGTCCTTCCCGGAAATTGACCGGACGTGTCCTGTTTTAAAAGTGCACATAGACGCGGTGATTGAGTTTGATTCCGTACGGAAACGGATGTCTGTGCTGGTTCGACATGAAGATGGCAGGTGCTTTGTGTATACAAAGGGCGCTGAAGTAACAATGCTTGATGCGAGAGTAAGTATTTTTCTTGTTCAAATTATCACCTGAAATTATTATTCTATTCATCACAAATTTATGCGTAATAACCGAAGGCTACTCACCCAAAACCCATGTGATATATTTTCGTTTTGGTTTTCAAAGTTTAAACGAAATCGCGCATTTTAAAAATAAATTTCCAGCTCACTGCAAACACCTCTCGAAATTCTACACTTCGATTTTTGCACGGTATAAGTCACAACAAAAATGCTTTTTATATTCTGAAATATGACCGACTCATGCAGATTAAAGATTTTGGTGAAAAGTGACAAGAGCCTCTGAAAAAGTCTTATACTCATTTTATTCAAAAACACCTGATGTAACGGCGATGCCTACACATAAATCTCCAAATATTTGAACAAGATACATATTTATCTTTGCTAACCAATCCATTACTGAAACCATAAAGTTAGATACCCCAATTTTTAATAATCTATCAAATAACTTAAGCCTTGATATAGCGACTGCCAACGCAAGTTAACTTCGTAAAAATGTTTGATCGCCATTTTGTTGTTTTTCTAATGTAGACTTCGGTTTGATATTTTACTACATGGACACATTCGAGTGTAAACTACAGTCATAAGAAGACAACATTAAGAACCAGACTAATAATCAAGGGGCTCAAATGATAAGATACAATCTCTTTTTTGTTTGAAAAAGAAACTATGTTTAAGTTTTTCTTTAAAATATCATCCAGCTGTGCAGTGCTACGCCATCGGAGGATCGTGATGCCATCATGTACAAAGTGACAAATTTTGCCTGTTTGGGATTGCGGACCCTGGTCTTTGGAATGCGCGAAGTACAACCAAAGGACTACCAAGATCTGCTGTCTGGCCTACGCTACGCTCAGGGACTAATTGGTAAAGAGCGGGCCCGAGAGCTTGAGGCTGCCCATGCCAGGAT